TTGCCGCGCGCATCCTCGGACGCACGTAAGTACCCATACCTGAGCAATAGGGTTCACCAAACTAGATCCATGGATGTGGAGACTGCGGCTGGTCGTGTCAAGACCCCTCCCCTTTCTCAGGATTTCATTTTTTTTTCATTTGGTGTGCTATTTTTGGCTTGGCAACCGCGATGGTTTATTTGACGAATTACCGTGGTAGCGAATTCTGGTATATTGCGATCTTACACTATGGTCCTATCTTGTGGGAGTAGCACACTTCTAGTCGTTCTATTTGCCCGCTAATAAAACGCGAGCAATGTTTTGCGTACTACGGTGAACGTTTTCCAGAAAAAGTACATTAGAGAAAACAATTACTAAAATTATCTGACCTCAACACAATGTTCAGATCCTCCTGCGTCATCGGGTTGTGTGGGAGCCCAAAACAAGAAGTCGACTGGGCTACCATCTGTCCATGTCCAGTCTTTACTGGTCGGATACGTCGCCTGTTTCAAGCCGATCCATGTTAAATCCGCGTCATTGGTGTATGTTATGCCCGACATTCCCATTCCTAAAAGCATTTCTACTTCAATGGGAGCGCTATTTACTGAACGAACTCGTAAATGACTTTTGGTTGAACCTGAAAAATTCGGTTCGAGGTGCCTCCAAATTGACTCTATCATTCTGTCGTAGAGTTTACGGTAGACTCAAACCATAAACGTTCTTGATACGTGAGCGTTACGCGCGCTTTTGCGAGCGGCAAAGCAGAGAAGTTCTATGCAACCGTTCCAAAATCGATTGTTTGCTTAACTCACCTGCCACAAAGTTATTCTCCTCCAAGCTGTGGATGGAGGCCAAATGGCCGCCATTCGCTTTGCAGACGTTCTCGGCATTCTCGAAGCTTGCCCATAGAAAGTACTTAAGGAATACGTTTGATAATTGTTATACTTCCATGGAAAATTTATTTGTTTATTTGATTTTTAGCTATTTTCAAACCCATGTGTTCAAGGAAAGCAGTGAGTATACCTGTTCCTCGTGTTTCAAACATAGTCGTGTTAAGGCGATAAGTTGGTTTCTTTAGCTAGACAGAAGACGGATAGATTAATATTGGGGTTGGCTCAGCAAACCTTACAGGGAGAAGGATGGAGGTAGGAGACTGATCTACTAACCCTATGCTAAGGTACGTCTTCCAAAGACTCGAATTCATTTCTCAATAAATAGTGAATTACCTTATAGCATGAGTTGGTCTTAGCGAAGTAGGTCCAACCGGACTGGCAGCGAGCTGGTGGGCCTAGAAATCAAGTGCTCAGCATTTGGTAATGAATAGAAAATGAAAGTAACGTCAAAAGTCAAGTTTACATCACTCTGATAAGTGAGAATCTTTATGGTGAACACTGAAACGTGTCGTTCGTGGATACGATAGTCGATGCGAGTACGGCTATTCTTCTCAGGAACCCTCGTCTTCAGTATGTAACAGAGGAAGGGTCCCGAAACGGCTAGCCGAACCCGCTGCATCACATCAGCTGATTTCGGTGGTGGTTCACCAATCGTAATCGATCTTCCATGTTTATCTTGTTTCTCTTCTCACACTTCTTTTCTAGGCCTTCGACTTTAGTTAGGTTTATTCAAATATCTAGACATGCCTGGAGGGGCCGGACATCCCAAGGTCGGACATGGTGGGCATGTGACGACCGGAACGATGGTGGATATGGCACATACGTATGCTCGGGATTGGGAACAAGCTATCGATTGCCACGTTCCGTCGGGTAGGGTTGAAACTGCGCAGGTGTTCGGAGCTGAAGTCGATTGGTTACCTGAAAATGATGAAAAACCATAAAGTGAACTGCAAAGTACGATTCTCTCTCCATCCTAATGATTACCCTACCGGGGACATTCCGTTGAAAGTTATGATACTATGAAAATCAGAAACAGAATCAACTTAATTATCTGAACCCAAATTATTTTGCAACTCAGCAAAGTTTTTGAGTAAGTCGCTTTTATGCTCGGCGTGTAGCGAATCTTATCGACATGGCCATCGATTGAGCCGGTTATTGTGCAAACATGCAGAGAGGCCTGTCAAAGCTGTCACTGACCGTCCTGCCAATTCGCGAAACTGAATTGGCTGCCGTCAGTATAACCCCACTGGTTACCGTTAAGTTTGTTCAAACCAATCCAGAAGGGAGAGCCAATACGTTGTTGTTGAGCAGTCTCTGGAAAAAGTTTTTTTGCTAGGGAAGGTTTTGCCATTGTAACAATAATTTTTCCCGTATTTTAAACAATACCTTTTTAAAAAACTTCGGAGAAAAAATTTTACGAAAATGTTCTAAAAGTGAAATTCACCTACCTGCCACCATAGCATTTTCTAGGCCTTCCTGGAAGGAAACAAGATGTCCTCCGAGTGTTTGACATGCTTCTTCTGCCATATAAAAAGGCAGAGTGTCGGGTGAGAATTTGTAGCATCTGCATTTTCAAATTAAAATACGACCTTCAATTTTATTTTGTGAATCATATTATGTGCACCTGTTGAATTCGGCATGATATATAGTATTGGCTGGACAGGTAAAGGCTGAAATCAATGGTAAAAGTCCAAACAGAAGCAGCAACATCGCAAAAGCTCTTGTTTCTTTATCAGCTCCCGTTTTTGTCTGATTGTCCGCTACCACCTTACGCTTATCGCTTCAAACAAGGCGATAGTTCCAGCGTAGTAACGGTTGCAGAATAAGACCCTCCGAGAATCTTCTGCAGTTTTCTGCAAGGTAAGGGATATCGAGGTGGGAAGAGAAACAGGGCTTATGTCAGTAATACATACCTACACCCATTTCTATTCCTACAGCTATAACTATGTATATCGAAAGTAAACACTTATATCCATCTTCATATTCATAATTATACCTGCAAAAAATCTCCACAGTTATACTTTCATCTACCACAGAAGATTGTCTGATTAGTGTTACTTCGAGAATGAAACTCCTAAAACTTTTCAGTTTCCTCAGCTCCCTCCTTACAAGTAACCTGAGAAGCAGCAAGAAGGCTGGTAAAGAGACCTAAATCTCGTCCGCTTCTGCGCATCTGCCTTTATAGTGAAGGCCATGGGACTTTTGGATAAGGGCGCATCCCCTAGGGTCCCTGTGGAAGCGTCCACCAGTTTCGAGGAAAACCGTGAGTGGTAACTACCCCAGAGCCGTCTTCGGTCTGACACCCTGCAGGTGTTCACCACATTTCAAACACTATGGGGCTCTTCACCCTCTGATATGCTATTTAGAAGAGTATAAATATATCTTACCCATACATATGTACTTTTATACATTTATACTTTCAGAATGTGAGGGATAAGCCTTTTTGCGTTGCTGAGCTCTCTCAGTGAGACAGTATCATACGGGTCGATTCCACTTCTATGCCAGGTTTATGAGTATATGGTAAACATATTACTCGCTCAGCTGCATTACTTCATTTTGGTCCTCGGAGGAAAACTTCATCTACATTCTTGGCCCAACACCGTTCCTTCGTATGATTCAAGGCTTTCTCGGCCCGCATCAATTGCTTGTGCTTCAATTCCGGAGTCAGAGACGCAGAGTGCCATGAAGTGCATCCCCTCACCTCTCTTCCCCAACCTCCTCGTTCAGCAACTATCCGTTTGAGAGCCCCTTTGTGCTCGCTTCTGCTGAGTGCGGATGACACTGATTTCGGGCACTGCTTTAGCACTGCATTGCCAGTGTCCTGATCACTGCCAGGTTTAGTTTAGAGGCGAAGAGCGTCTGTGTGCGAGAACCAGACCCTAATGCTCAATGCAGCATTCTTTGAAAGCAGTTTGGAACTATTACATAAATTGTTACTATCGTAAATAGCTGTTGTTGGTAGTGAAGGTCGAGGAAGGCTCTCTCGTGAGTTTATCGCTGGCTAGTCTCTAGTGTTTGCTCTACTGAAAAAGTTAAAGAAGTATATATACCTGTCCAGGTATACCTAAAGGAGTAGTAAAATTGTTTCACAGCGCTTAGAAGCAAGGACGACTACGCACTCGATGTGTCCCTGGATGAATTTAAAGTTTGAAGTTTTCTTATTGCTTTTACAGAGAAGCCGGTTGGAGAGAAGATGAGAAATCCTTAATTCTGGTCGTTTACTTATGAATTAAAAATATAAGAAGTAATCGAATCATTTTTATTCTACGAAAGTCAATTATTCTAGTGGAGTGCAGGTTTCTTGCAAACGTAAGCTCTCATGGTCAGTGTGCATTCACAGGCATCCCAGTGCTGATAGTTGTTGTCCTTGGCGGGAATTCGTCCAAGATAGTCGCTATGTGTCTGAAATCATTCAGATCGGCCTAAAACTACTACTGCAATGAGAACATTGAAAAAGGACAACCTTAAATCAATTATTTAAAGGGAATCTGAAAATAACCAATTACCTGAGCGCAATGGTCACGTCCTTTTTTATCTACCGGTTGAGAAGGACCCCAAGCATTGTAGTCAAATGGTGTACCATCAGTCCATGTCCATGCCTCTGACGTAGGATAGTTTTGCTGCTTTAGACCAATCCATGTTAGATCATCGGCTTTCTTGTATTCAACACCGGCCTTGGAGATGTCTGAAGAGATTCTCTTACTGGTTAGAGAAATTCATAGAAAACCATTTCTTTTTACAATAAGATGCAAAAGAGCTATTTGAATGAAGGAAGATTTCTATGAGTAACATCTTACCGGCAACGAAAATATTCTCCTCGTCACTGTGGATGGATGTAAGATGGCCTCCGTTGGACATGCACACTGTTTCAGCATTATCAAACGTGGACCAAAGGAAGTACTAAACATGAAGAATTACCGAGGAGTAGATACCTTCACATCAGTCGATTTCGGCAGTTCAGTAGTTTTTGATAAGTTCCTAAGCAATAAGAGTATCTATGAGTCAAGACCCGTCTAACTACACGAGGTGCTCGTAGGCAGGAGTTCGTGCAAACAGAGAGATGGGGGGGGGGGGGGGGGTTATGGGCTTTAAGGCAGACTCATCGAAGAGACGGAACCGTCGCTGTGCCGGCCATGGCTGTGATGTCAGGGCCTTCGCTTTACGTGGGCTGGAAATGAAGCGTCCAAAAACGATCAGCCAGTTCCGCCCTTAGAAGGCAGTGGCTGGTCGTTCCAGGACCTCCATTCCCTATAGCAGCAATTCGTTCCATTTTCGTCTCCTGTGGAGACAGTCAGAAGATGGAGAACCCATAGAGATTGGTTATTTGGAGAAGCTTTCGTTGATCAAATACTTATTACATGAAGAATGTTGCTACTCACCCTATAACACGAGTCGGTTTTGTCGAAGTAGGCCCATCCAGAATCGCAATGACCGACGACGGCTACAAAAAGGCTTTTACTGGAAATGAATGGATCACAGAGAGGTTAACTGCCACATCTTTTCATTTCTGAGTTCAAAAACTAATCCAAAATCATGTAATACATCATTTTGCTGTTAAAGAACAGCGATGGTAATTCTGGTCCATCGGTTCAGGCTCCACCAAAACCACGCACCTTCTGACCTGTGCCCAAGTTACTCGTTCCCAACTGCGTTCTCCTTCCGCTTCCTATTTGGAGTACTTCCAGCCGTGTGTCGATGCCCGCCTTGCTTTGGTGGCGGAACACGATTTGGCAATCTTCCAGCTGAGTGATTTCGAAATCAGCGCACAGTTGGAAGATTGCCAAATCGTGTTCCGCTATCAAGGCAAGGCGTGCTTCGACTGGCTGCTAATCGTGTAGCCCCCCATCCCGGCAGGCGTCCATTCCGCATTGCTAAGACTCCACGACCAACGCGATCAATACGTATCCAATCTGAGGTCGGTGGCAAAATCAAAGGCTTGGATGTAGAAACGTCGATAAGTTTGGGAGAAGTTACTGTCCACTGGCTAACTACTCTCGTTGCCTATTCCTCCTTTTACAGATCCAACGATTCCCTAACTTCGAGTGGCTACCTCTTGAGAGCATCGCACCTGCGGCCTCATAACCAATATCCATTCTTTACATAGATACGCTCTTAAGTCATTGAAGGAAGAAGAGAATTCGCGCAAACAGAATCGGACTTACGTGGGAATGTTGGACAACCGGCTGGAGTTGGGCAGGGAGGGCATGTAGGTGCTGGGAAGCTGGCTGTCACGGCACAAACATATGCATAGGCACTGTTACAAGAAACAGATTTCCATGTTCCATCTTTACTGTTTTGCACTGCACAGGTAGTTCCATCAGCTGGCTCACCTGGAAACAAGAACAATGCTTGACCGTAATATTCGCTAGAAAACATTAGGGGCTAGTTAGCCTACCTGTGCCCCAATTGGTGTAGTTATACGAGGAGCCATCGGACCAGCTCCATGTGTCCGTACTCAATCGATTGTAACCCGTGTAGAAAGTGGCGATTTTCTGTCCTTGGGCACTCTCTAAATATCGAGTTTATGCGAAAGTACAATTGACATGAAATATGAGATATATCAAATTAAGTGATACATCGAAGTTTTGACAGATTTATTCTCTAACTGCCTGGGAACTTAAATAAGCTCTATTTATGCGTTTTTAATGGTACCTGAAAGCATTGCATTTTCATAACCACTTGAGATTGAGACCACATGTCCACCAATGGAAATGCATGCTTCCTCGGCGAGATAGAATGGTTGCGCAGTACTCACAAATTTGTAGCACCTGCAAGTTTATGTTGTGCAAATTTATTCTGTAAACCCTATTTTATTCGTAGTGAACGAAACAGGACATTTATTTTTCTAAACACTTTCGCCAATCCGCGGTGTAATGAGGTTCGTAATTTTTTTAAAAAAGAAACTTGCTTCCGTTTGGGTACTGCTTCATAAGATGAATTGATAAATGCTCCTTTCAAAAGCTGCTAGTCCAGAACGATAGAACATTTGCAAAAGTAATACGTAAGTGTTACCGATTGAATTCCTGGTGATAGACAGTACCGAGAGGGCAGTCGGCAGATGCTAACGCCACAAGAGCGGCGAGAAAGACGAGCATGACAGCAACACTGCGCTTATCGCAACCGAGTGGCCTCCGGAACCACTTCGAAGCCTATCGTCAGTCCAACTCGATTAGTCAATGTTATTTTTCTTAAAATATGATTCAGAGCAGCATACTGTAGTGGATTTGATGGAGCATGAGGTAAAATAATTCAAAAGTCGTCCTACTCATGTGGGGTCAGCCATTCATTGAGCTTTTCCCGTGCTGCTCCTGCTCTGGCTTGTGAAATTACAACAACATGTTACTCTAAATGTATGACGCTGACAACATTCGAAAAGAGATGGCGTCGTATTGCACAGAATAAGTATGGCTGGTATCATCGTGTTCTGTTTTTGCTCAAACGCTGAGGGCTCACAGAAAGCTCTCTGGCCTTTGCAAACGCTTGAGGGAATTGGCTTGCAGACTGCAGTTTAATAAGGAATTTATCGTCACGATTACCCTTCAAAAATGCCTATCAATTTGGTAATCATGTTGATAAACTGATCACCATGAAGAGTAAGAATTAGACAGGTCGCGAACTTTGTCTATCTCAGAAAATCAGGTCGTCATCTGTTTTTAAATGAAGTGAAGCTCCTCGAAAACCGATGAAAAATTTTTATAGCAGGTTTCGTTACAGCAAAGAGATGTGCTGCCAAATGAGGTACAATCGTAGCAGAAGTCCAAGCTCATTTCTCTGGACCTCAATTCTTTAGCAGGTAGGTTAGCGTTGATTACAGAGTTCCAAACATAAGTTATAAACTTTTGACTTTTTCCTTTTGAGCCCTGTAGTTCTCGCAGTCGTTTTTTGGTTCTATCAGCTATTTGCTGTTGTTCTATTTGCTCTGTTACGCCGATTAAGTGATGAACTTATAGATAAAATGGCTACGCCAGCCTTTATCAAACAACTTTACAGGAAGAGACAATGGGACGGCGCCTTCTTTCGCGTCTGTGTCCAGTGTTCAAAGAATGAGGTCATAAATAAGAGGGGTGTGATTTCTACCGAACAAAATTTTACTAAGGACTGGGAGGAATGGGGATCAGGGCTAAGCTTGCGTTGTGATATCTGCAAAATAGAGGTCATATTCGCTCATTTGTGGAGTAGAACAGGAAATCGCACATGCAAAAGCGGGCGAATTAGTTTTGACGGGGAGTAACTTGATGGAACTTTTGTGATCGAACAGGTATATATGTTCCCTTTCACTATTACCCATCCCCGATGGGTCGGTAAGGAAAGGTGTAATGGAATAGTGGCACTTCGGGGCACGTACTTATCCAACAGCGCGAATTTCTCACTTTTTCTCTTTGCTTGAATCTAGGTTACATATCCGTGGCAAACAGGATCAAACATCTAACATTTATTCTGTACACTACCACTAATCAATGCATAGCAGGCTTCTTACAGACGTAAGCTCGCATTTCTTCAGTACATTGACAATCGTTCCATTTCTGGTATGCGTCGTCCTTAGCCGGATCCTTGCCGAGGTAGTCACTATGGGTCTGAAAAGGCACAGTTTGGGCATACCTTACATTTAGCCGAGAATGATCAGGCAGTCTCAATCATCCAAACATTTCTCTCACCTGTCCACAATGCTCTAGCCCTTTGAGGTTGTTAGGCTCTCCAGGCGCCCATCTGAAGTAGTCCAGAGGGGTACCGTCGGTCCATGTCCACTTGGTGTCTGTTGGATAGTTAGCCTGCGTCAATCCGATCCACGTAAGATCGGAATCTTTTTTGTATTCCGTGCCAGATTTGGAGAGGTCTAGATTCCGATTTCTTAAGAAATAAAATTAAAATGAAATTTTGAAGACAGTACAATCTACCGGCAACAAAAATGTTTTCTTCGGTGCTGTGAATTGAGGTGAGGTGACCGCCATTAGACTTGCACACCTGTTCGGCATTGTCAAACGTTGCCCATAGGAAATACTGAAACACCCTGTTGACGTATTCATGCAGAAGAATATTCAGAAAGTTCAGGCAACTGAAACTGGTAAGTCCCCTCAACTTCAGGAACCATCATTACTGAGTAATACCCCCAGTTATAAGAAGAAAAAAGTGGTCTCACCATGTGCATTTGGGCTTGGCGAGCACATAAGTATGTCAGTTCTTTAAAACTTAAAAAACCATCAAGTTACCCTGTAGCAAGAATCCGTCTTATTGAAATAGCTCCATCCATTCTGGCAGTGTCCTGGTTGCGCTGAAAATTTTATTTTCTGGATGTCTATAAAAAACAAAAAAAGGTCACAAACGTGGAGCAGACGGGCATGTCGGTAAAGCGGGACATGCTGGACAGGTTACAGGGGGAAAGTTTGATATGATGGCACAGATATAAGGATAAGATGTAGCGCAGTTCACAGAATACCATGTGCCGTTGAGTGCCTCGACGGTGCATTGTGAGGAGGCATCAGGCTGACCTAAAAATCTCTGTTATTCCATCATCCATGAACTCCAAAATATTTGAGGATGGAGTTCATACAGCTATAAAACTGCTTTTGTGTTTTATGGATATAACTGCGACATGCCTGGACCCCAGCTTGTGAACGTGGACGCATTGTAACCATCAATCCATGACCAATTATTGCTCAACATACGATTGTATCCAATAAAGAACGGGGTTTTGATGTTTTGGGATGAAGCCGTCTCTTAAAAAAAGCAAAATGTTCAAAGTTGAGGGTAAGACGTGATATGTATAGTAACGAACCGGCCAGCATAGCGTTCTCGAAACCGTTTTCCACAGAAACCAGGTGGCCTCCGATTGCCTGACATGCTTCTTCTGCTAAGTAGAAGGGCTGACGATCATTCACGAATTTGTAACATCTGAAAAGCTTCATTTTCAAGCTAAAAAATCCTTCATTCCAACATGCGCCACGAATATAAAAGGAGGAAACAGAACCACTACAAAATGATAAACAACTCTGAGGTCAAAAAAAGCAGCTAAAAAAACATCCGAAATTCGACTCTGTAGTCACATAATTCAAGCGGCCTTTAATTTTGGCTTTTTTTGGAAATTCCAACAAAATCAGCTGTCGTAACGAACCTTCCAAATTCCGGATGTGAAATTGTACCAAGCGGACATTGAGCGGTAATCGTAGCAGAGAGTACGGAGACCAACAGCAACGGCAGCATCATCACGGCCACTCACCAAGCCTTATCAGTACGGCACAATATCGTAGAAAGTCCCCAGTTTGCTTCACCGATTTCAGGGACCAGTTTCTTTTTCGATTAGATTTGAGAAAGGCATTTCGCACCACCTGAACAACTCAATCCTCTACTTTAGCTCAGCATCGAAGTACATATAATTTAATGCAATGGATCAAACGTCTGTTTTTCTAACCGCCAAAATAAGAGGCGTCTAAGACGTAACTGTTGGCTGATTGTTTGTTATACAAGTATTTGAAGTGGAGCTCTGAAAAAGTTCGAGGCTGAGACGATTGTTACGAGACTCCTGAGACACGAAGATCCCTCAGTTGATCATCGGTCACCACTGAGCGGTCATTAAAGTGCCATTCTCTACAAACAGCGATTATGACTTCCGAATGTAGACAGTAGGCTATGTCTGTGGCGTCATTATGAGCTGAACTAGAATGGAAGAAATTGATATCCATCCGGTTTCAATTTATGTTATCTCTGCAGTTGCTCTATTGTCCAACATACTTTTTCTTATTCTGTATTTCTTATGCCCTTTGAAGAATATCAACTCATATAGGTATTTTTTTCTGATCACTGCTATACAAGATATCGTCTATTCTGCTACATTTGTACTCGTCATTCCGGTGAGGCCTGTAATTAAAATTTCCATTTGTCTAAGTGGAACTAAAGTGAAAGCCTGGGTCAAGAGATGATACGGTCATTCCTCTCGGGTGGAATTAAAATTATTTGTAGTTTGTTAGTGTCACTAAAAGAATGATATAACTTTTAAAGACTTCTCGTTGTTGGGGTTCTTTGACACTTGATAAAGCCGTGGGGCATGTCGGGTCGGATAGAAGTCTAGCTCGGACGTGATAAGGTCTCATGAGCCCCTCCAGATGTCTACCGTCACTGTCTGCTGCCAGAAAAGGGCTGTGAAATGTGAAATAGGTTCCTTGTAAAAGAAGGAAACTAGTAAAAGCCAATGCGAAGTTACCACATGTTGCTTTACAGACATTCCTTCCTCCCAAGTATGAATTCATACAGAAACGGAATATTCTGAGTTAACTGAAGGGTAAAGCCTTGCAATTAAGCAGCAGAGATGATAAGCTAAATATGGTAATTTCTAGAGAATTATCTCACAAGACTATTCACTGGTATTCGTTGCCACTGGAACAGTGAAGTACAGACTGGTTGCTTTTAATGTGCTTATCCTATTCGTTACCGTCTTCATCTGCTCACTAGTATCCGTAACAAACAGTTTCGTGTATCGTTATTTGCAATTGTGCAGGTGAGTAAACCTAATCTCTCATTACAATGAAATTATGATTAGCGATGAACTGATTATGATGATCACGGAAATAAACTTAGATGAAGTGATGATGGTTAGGCAGAAGCCGCCCATCTCACCAATCCGTAGATGTTCCCGAGTTAGAACTAGGGCTACAAACAAAGGGCGACAAATGATACAAAGCTTTAGAAGAGACAACTTTTAGAGCGCAGCTTCTTCAAAAATATTCTTCAAAAGTATATATTTTGGTTGGATCTCTCGTCAACTTCTTTGTCATATTAGACTTCATCATTGTTATCTACTTTGCTTTTTGGCCTAATGAAGATTTCGAGCAGTTAATATGGCATAGCGTTGAGATTCCTGGAATGAACCTCAATGGTGTTGCTTTTCTTGGAATGTCTCTGAAGGTATGATGCTGTGGTACAATTGATAGGATTGATTCTTTATTACAGTATTGAGCTACATAATGTTATACAACCAAAAGAGTTTTTTCCAATCTATTTGTTCTTAGTACAATCTAAGTGGCTTCCACCTTACACTGGTTATTGACATCGTTCTCGTACTGACTTTTATGGTATTTGTAAACTTATTTTGTGCCATGAAGATCCATGGCTCCCTAAGAAGCACCCTAAGAAACAATCAGTCTCTATCGCTACAAAGGAGGATGTTTGTACTGTTGCAGCTACAGGTAAGGAAAGATCTTAATTCGATTTTTTGTGTGATACATAAACAATTGTGATTTTCTACACATCTATTCATATACGTAAATATTTTTTGTGATCGTTTAGGTAAAACTGTTACTTTTCAGGCATGCAGTCCATTTGCGTTTCTGTATATCCCGTGCTTTTTCGCATTTTTTCTACTGTTCGCTGAAATTAGTTCAACACCACTAGCTACTGACATTATTTGTACTTTGATGACTTTATATCCGATTTCTAATCCAATTATTATTGTCGTGTTTGTGAAGGATTACAGAGATTTCCTTCTAATCAAGCTACATTTGAAAAAATCGTCGGAGCGAAGTGTCAGTTCCCAAATCAGAAGTACTGCAACAAAGTCTACTAGAGCTCCTTTGCCACCAATTATAACTTAATGTTCAGTTTTTCTGCATTGATGAATCTTGCTGTATTCGGTAATGTAGAGTCATGTGTATGTGTTTGTTCACTTTTTCTCCTAAACCTGCTTTTGTCCTCATTCCCTGAGGGCTTGGGATATGTTTGTCTGTAGCATACTGTATAGAACTTGTTGAGAGGATAAAAGTCGATAACGTGTGATAATGCTTTTCATCAATACAAAGAAAATTTCTGTCAAAATAGCTTCCAGTAACTTGCACTGCTTTCCCGGACAGAATCATCTCGCTTCGTTAGGTTTCGAGCAATCTTTGTGATCAAGGATTTAGGGGGTTGTTTGAGGCATCTCGTCAGGGCTTACTCAATCAAGCACCCAAAGGCACTAGGCCACTAGCAACATCCAGAAACTCAACATAATTATAAATGAGGTTCCATCAGCGTCGTTGTCCCACTCGAATATGTGAACATGAGACAAATGAGACCATTGACCGAGGTAAAATGATGAATGCTCACTCATTTCCGGCGGCTTGGATGGAATCGTTGCCCCGATATTCTCGTAGGAGCTCCTAGCGAGGTGAGGGTATTCCTGCTCCTGCGGCCCTGTGAATGTGCCTGACGGGACGGACCAGCAACCCTCCCTCCTGCATATCACAAGATGAACACTGAAGTCAATACACTGTCCATCGCTATTTATGATTTCAATCCGTTCCAAACAGACGAGAAAGGTCATTAGTCACACATTCACAGCCCTGCGCTTACCGTGGACCAGACGGAGCTTGACAATGCTTTTTGTACAATCATCAAGACAAAGACTTCAGCACACCTTCATTAAAATTAGGCTCGAATGCATGAGGCTATAATGTGCCTAACAAATGACAGGAGGGCCTGTGTGTATCATTCTGATATCATTAGTTTTTGCAGTGTACTTCGCTCGTAACCTCCGTTGAAACTCGACTGACATGAGCTTTAGCTTCAAACAAATCCATACCATGCAGTAGATACCAGGCTTTACTCATCCACCCTTCGAGGCATCAACCAGGAGAACATCGAGAAAAATGTAACAATCGTACGTAATACTTTTCTTGACGGGAGAACGAAGCCACTCCTTCTTGAACTTGTCATAGCTGTCCTCACTTTGACAGAATCTGCTCGATGAAAATATCTTTCTTTAACCACCTTCTCCGTGTCTCTACCGCCTTGCCAGTGACCCATCATCATTTCACTTCCTTTCCGACTTCCATGTCTCACCCCTACAGTTGGGATGTCTTTCGAGATAGAGAGAGTTTCAGTGACAATTTCACGTTCTTAATCGGGAACTCGTAACCATTTTCCGAGAAGAAAGTGAATTTAAGAACTTAAAAACGAACATAAAAATGACACGCTTGGCTGATTATATATAACTATCATGCAAAATGAGGGGGATGGAAGCATCGTCCTGAAATTAAGCATGAAGCTAGGTCTGTTCAAAGCTCGAAAAAGTTTGTTTAAGAAAATGTGTTTTTTGTATTCTGTTAAGCCTAAAAGACTTCAAACATCAAATACAAATTTTTGTGGCCGTACCGCCTCTAAATTTGTTGATTCATCCCTTATTATGTCTACGATACAAGACGATCCTCTTCCAATCCCGATTTATGTCATATCTGCGACTTCGCTTTTGCTCAACGCCTTTTTCCTAGTCCTGTACTTTCAATGCCCACTGAAAAAGATACATTCTTATAAGTACTTTTTCCTATTCACTGTTTTGGAGGACATCGTCTATACTATCACGTTCACACCTATTATACCGGTAAGAAGATTTTTGAAGATTTTTTCATGAGTTCCAGATGGAAACGCTAGAGACAGTGCATATGAAGGAATCAAGGGTTTCTGCTGGCTCCTGTGATAGTAAAAGGAACAGACAACTGATTTCACATGAACGGCATCAAGTCTAGGCTCTGTTACAAGTCGGGTGGATCGTTTGGTCTGCAATTCTAAACAGGCCTTTTCAGCTAGTGAATGGAAACAGCCTATAGAGAGAACTACTGATGATGGTCATGAATCCAATCAGTTTTATGAGGGACTTTTCAGATTTGTTCGCTACACCAAAAAGTTAGAAGCATCATTGACTGAGATCGTACAGCTGGTGAAGTACGATTTTATGTATAAAATGTTCCATAGATTACGATATTAGCAAATGAATTATGAATCCAATAAAGCAGGAGTAGGAAAAACTGAAAACATCAAAGCATCCTAATACATCGGCGTTTCAGCGAATCATTTCGAAAAACTATTTTATGATATTTATTGTTACTGGAGTACTAAATTGGAGACCGCATGCGTTTATTCTACAT